AGTGTTGGTCAATGTCTATATCTGGACCTTGAGGTCTATAATGGTCCTTGAGTGTTGAGGTCTATAATGGTCCTCGAGTGTTGGTCAATGTCTATATATGGACCTTGAGGTCTATAATGGTCCTCGAGTGTGGTCAATGTCTATATCTGGACCTTGAGGTCTATCCTGGTCCTTGAGTTTACCCTTTCTGCGGTCAGTGTTGGTATATTTTGACCTCGGGGTCTATACACAGGGAAGCTGGCTGAAAGGTAGTGTTTAAGTATAATAATTTGATGTCTTATCATCCATGTCGCACAGTACTCTAATTTAAATTTTCAAAATAGCAGATTTCATCTAATTAAGCTGAAGGTCAGAGGTCATTGACCTACCCATTTAGGCCTGGTCGATCTCCCGAATGAGATCGTCCACAATTCTAAACAAATCTTGCTCGTCATCCTTTTCCTTGCGTTGTTTATTTGAGTTTGAAGTTGGTGGAGTGCTTTCTCTTAAATATAAGGGAAAGAAAACAAGAACGCTCAGTAGGAACAGGTAAAGTACAGGTGAAAAATTGAGGTATTACCAAATGGTACAGGAAAGTCTCTATATTTTATTATATGAACGTTTAATTACAATACGTTTTCTTCAAACTTCAGTCAACTCAAGCACTCACCCTAACCCCCTGGCAATCAGCTCCAGAGCGCGTTCAGAAAACGGGATAATTGTCATTCCAAACATTTCAACATCTGCAAGCTCTTTGTTCACTGTTAACACTTCGTCAGACGATTTCAAGGCAATACCAGTGATAGTCATCGCCATATTAAACTCTTCAGATGGGCTGGGTCCAACTAAACAGGAATAAAAAATGCTTTCTACCAGCAGTTTACTAAAGATTACTTAAAATGTATATTATAGCAAATTACGTAAAGTGCATGGCTTTCATTCCCAATGCTTTAGTAGCAGCTGCGACCTTTCTGAGTATTATTGACGAAAATATACATATTTGTTTTTTTTTTTATACATTTGTTATGTATTTCTAAGCAAGTCGAAAACGAAGTAGTAATCCAGTTGTGATATATAAAATATATAGAAATTGAACCCGCCTTTATTCCCGCGGCGAAAGAAATTTCTGATCCTTTTGCGCAGTCCTGGTCTACGACGAGTTCCTGTAATATTGAGTACTCGAATCGGATATTACATGTACCAACATAATTAATACTGAATAAAAGAAACAAAAAAACCTCTTCGATAGTTGGGTAATATAGATCTCTTAATACAGTTAAACCAAGTTCTATCTCTTCATTTTTTTCAAGCATGTATTATTTGTTATAGGAAGCAATGAGTACTGTAAACTTTCTCCTCCTCACGGACAAGGGCGAGAGATAACAGTGCAATTGCTCGCATCTGCGGTGTTGATCTGAGTGTTTGATATATAGGCTTTGTGTATTAAGCAGAAACGTATAGAATAAAACCATAACATTATTGTGTTAGTATCAGATGTTCTCATGTCTCGACTCGGCATAACCGCATTTCTTACCACTGTAATACTCCTCGCGTACATCATGATAGCTGTTAATAGGTTGAACAGCGTCTGCAGAGAGATCACGTTATATAAAAAAATTAATTTGATCAAATTGATAATGCAGCAAAACAATGAATTTAATGCAGTTATAAGTAATTTTATATACCAAATGCGACATTTCTTTACACTATTCAGTTCATATCCATATTTACAGCGCATATTTTCTGCTTGTAATTTGCAATTTACTTTAAACAATAACGCTTACAGACAACAGAACGCTGAACTAGTCTTCACCTATACGCGTTGTTTTGAGCACTTACGTGATTGAGTGCATCCCATTTTTTGTGAAACAATGATAAAAACTATATTCCTGGATTCCGTATAACGTCTTATTGATCGCTATCGAAGAAATGGATTATGGTATAAACGTTACCTTGGTATCAAGACACGCCCGTTTCGCTATCGTTAAATAAAATCATTCAGTCCTCCGTCACAAATATGATCCATTTTTAAAATTTATCACAAAACATTGAAACCTTAGATAAAACTCACGCTAAGAAATCTAAAAAAATAGGCAAAATGGAACAAAACGTTTTTCTGAGCTGAAACTTTGGCGATTAATATTGGTGTGGTTATTGTGACGTCATGGCGTAACGTCGCATTTCACGTAACGTCACACTAAGATCGTACTTGTGAAAAAAATTATGAATATCGCACATTCTACAGGCACTTGGTACTGCGACCTTACATAATACAACGGCATTTTAAAAAATAGTACTGTAAATGGAAATTTTCCTGTATCTTTTTCTCTTGATACGTTTCAGATGTTCACACAGAGTAGAACTAGACTATTTAATAAACGATCATCTGTGTGAAAGTAACCGCATCACTTTTATTTAGAGTGTACTAGTTTATTGAATGTAGTAGACAACTTTGGTGGGCACATCTTTACAACAGTGTAATAACTGCTTTTGAAGTAGCAAAACTTGCATAATTTTCACATTATATAATGAGCCCGTGAGAATCATTATTTCTAAAACTAAATCGCGTGTCACATATTGAGTTTTATTGATCACATATTATTTGCTGTTAATTTGAGTGAGACATGAATCTTTTATCAAAGTTTTAAGCAGTAATCATTATGTCATTATTTCACAGTGATATCAATGTATCTATTCCTGAACCTAGCCTGGATACACAGTATGTCATTATTTCACAGTGATATCAATGCAGCTATTCCTGCACCTAGCCTGGATACATAGTCCGTCCCCGAGGGTGACGTCAAGGTCCTCCGCCATCATCACCACGGCCTGTCTCCAGTGTCTCGGTTCATCCAGAGTACACAGCCTCACAGCGTCTGCCACATAGATATCAAACCAGTAAACCACACCTGTCAGGCTGCCGTTCTCACAGGCTGGGACGCGGACCGTGACGTCTTTTTCTAAGAAATTGAGCATGTCGCTGGAGTGGGGAAGGTTGAAGTCAAAGTCAAAGATTTTGAAAGGTTCTGTTAGTCTGGTATACGGGAGGGTTTGTAGGTCCACGTCAACATGGGTACGCATCTGGAACAGAAATACAGCGCTGGGTTAGAAAGACGTGAAAGATGTGTACTTTATAATGTTAACCAGAGGCGCTTCCTCTGCACAAGGACCTAGCTCTATCCCTGGTCTACTATTGAAGGAGTTTATATAAAAATAAAAGTATTTACTGATGTTTTAGTGATAGTAATCACCTAATTTGGAACAAAAATAGTACAGAAACAGCCATGTTTCCCTTTTATCAATATTACTTTTGTTCCAAAGTAAAAGCTTCCCATCATTAAAAGATCAGTAAATACAAGTCCTTGGAACCATGAAAAATCTTATTGATAATATATGTAAAAAAAAAAGATTTAATTGTTAACTTTCAGCAGCTTGATGTTTATGTACATAAACTTGAATGTATATGCCACATAAATCCTGAGTGTATACCTTGAAATCATTGATAAACTGAGCAATATTCCACCCCAGTGTTGACTGGTCACTAACCACCATGCTGTATTCCTTTAGTTTCTCGGAGTGGATACACATCCCATAGACAGACGTCCTCTGTGGGACCACACCGCCCCCTGGCCTCAGGTGACTCACTCTGAACATATAGAACTCTCATATATAATATGATCTGGCTACATGTCTTTTAAAAAAAAATCTGAATAATATCAATATAGGCTTCTCCCTTTGCTCAATTCTATTATTCTGTAAAATAAAAATTAATCAATTAATTTAGAAAAAAAGAAAGAAATGAAAAAATATTGGATTAAGTACTTGGTAGTTTATGATAACTCAATGTCTAAAAAGGAAGTTTCGGTTAAGTTTTTCATTCGTTGATGAATGCTTTGAAAATGGCAATTTAGGTTTCTCTGGTTGCCAAACTTTATTATCTTGTCAAAACTCATTTACTTCAGAAAAAAAGAAGAAAGAACCTGAATAAAGAACTTTATAATAACTCGATGCCTAAAATGCCTGAAAATTTAGGATAAGTTTTTTATTTGATGATGCACGTTTTGTTTTAACACTTTACATGAGTTCAGGCAACAACATTTATCTCATTCTATAGGAGCCCTCCTATGCACCTACTTTGCCAGAGCTATATCTTCTAACACTTGTTGTCTTAGGGCTCCACAAGGCTCTACCAGCTCTGTTACCAGGACATCATACCCCTGGTCTCCTTCCTCTGGTAACCCATTTACAAACAACAGCTTGCCAGCATCTATTTGATTGGCCTCTGAGATATGACGAAGTATCATTTGATTGGTCTCATCTTGTCCAGTTAATGTCACCTGTGCTGCCCCCTGTAGGAGAGACTGCAGACAAAGAGCAGAGAACCCTTGTGTAATGTCTAGAATGCTGAGACCAGTTTTCTCTTGCTGTAACTTTTGTACAGCAGAAAAATATGCTGTATTAACTTCTATGTCATTCAGCCTCCCAAGTTCATGCCTCTCTAACAACAAAGTTGATTTGGGTGAAGGGCAGCCACCAAAAGAATAGGTATCACATTTAGAGGTACTTGTACTGATTGTTTTGTCTGTATTTATGCTGGCACCATATGAGCTTATGGATGAACAACCTTGAGTTCCCGCATCAACTGTGGAATTTAATTTCTCCCCTTGAGATAAGTCCCTGACTCTCAACGAGTGTGAATTCTCATCACAATCCCGTAGAGAATCTTCAGAGTTTTCCACAAACTGATATGCACCTTGAGAGACAGAGTTGTCTTCAAAGCCACAGAAACTATAAGAGGGCACAGGACGGAAGACATCACCAAAAGACAAAGAGCTTTGTGAGCTACTAGTACAAGCACCCTGTGGTTGATTTTTTTGAGTCCCTGGTATTTCCCTCTTAATATCAGTGCAGTATAAATGTATGAGGTCATTAGCCACACTGCAGTGGACATGTACCATCTCTCCTTCCCTGACTACCAGGTTTTCTCTTCTCTCACAGCCTGAAATGAACAGATATATTATATTTGATTTGAATTATGGTGAAAACGAAAGTGAAAGTTACACATGAAACCACTACCAATAAAGATGCCCCCATCCTAAAGTACCCACAGTGTGTTCATACTGCAGCTGATAACCACAGAGTAAAACCATACTAAATGATCTACTGAATAATCATCCATCACAGCTTATGCACCATTTTCACCAACTTTAATTATTCATCTTGATGGTTTTTGTTGGAACATGTCATATCTTCCCTCAATGTTTGAAGACATGGAGAATATTTACCATGACTGTGTATGTGTTCTGGTAGCACAGGGAAAACTTGCCATGACTGTGTATGTGTTCTGGTAGGACAATACTTACCATGACTGTGTATGTGTTCTGGTAGGACAATACTTACCATGACTGTGTATGTGTTCTGGTAGGACAATACTTACCATGACTGTGTATGTGTTCTGGTAGGACAATACTTACCATGACTGTGTATGTGTTCTGGTAGGACAATACTTACCATGACTGTGTATGTGTTCTGGTAGGACAATACTTACCATGACTGTGTATGTGTTCTGGTAGGACAATACTTACCATGACTGTGTATGTGTTCTGGTAGGACAATACTTACCATGACTGTGTATGTGTTCTGGTAGGACAATACTTACCATGACTGTGTATGTGTTCTGGTAGGACAATACTTACCATGACTGTGTATGTGTTCTGGTAGGACAATACTTACCATGACTGTGTATGTGTTCTGGTAGGACAATACTTACCATGACTGTGTATGTGTTCTGGTAGGACAATACTTACCATGACTGTGTATGTGTTCTGGTAGGACAATACTTACCATGACTGTGTATGTGTTCTGGTAGGACAATACTTACCATGACTGTGTATGTGTTCTGGTAGGACAATACTTACCATGACTGTGTATGTGTTCTGGTAGGACAATACTTACCATGACTGTGTATGTGTTCTGGTAGGACAATACTTACCATGACTGTGTATGTGTTCTGGTAGGACAATACTTACCATGACTGTGTATGTGTTCTGGTAGGACAATACTTACCATGACTGTGTATGTGTTCTGGTAGGACAATACTTACCATGACTGTGTATGTGTTCTGGTAGGACAATACTTACCATGACTGTGTATGTGTTCTGGTAGGACAATACTTACCATGACTGTGTATGTGTTCTGGTAGGACAATACTTACCATGACTGTGTATGTGTTCTGGTAGGACAATACTTACCATGACTGTGTATGTGTTCTGGTAGGACAATACTTACCATGACTGTGTATGTGTTCTGGTAGGACAATACTTACCATGACTGTGTATGTGTTCTGGTAGGACAATACTTACCATGACTGTGTATGTGTTCTGGTAGCACAGGGAAAATTGCCTGTTCCCAGCACCTGTCACTGCTAGGTGAAGTGGACAGGTGTGTATCTGGGTCAAGTTCAAGGACAAACCACATGGCTATGGCATCCAGTCTTCCAGTGGCTATCACAGGCAATTGGAGATCTCTGGATATTCCCTTGCGGTATTTACGTATTGCCTGAAAATGATAGAAACAGACTTGTTTTGATGACTACATTTCAAGCATGTTCATGATGTATTTGTGGGTGTCAATGCCAAGATGTGATAAACAGAAGAATATGTGAAATCCCCATGTGATTTTCATATTGCCTGTAAAAATTATAGAAACAGACTCACTTTGAATGGGACATTTCAAGTATGTTCATGATATAACTGTTAAATGCATTTGTGGGCTTCAATGCCAAGATGTGATATATGGATGATTTTTTTGGAAGTCCCCATATGCTTGTGTTTGTTTCAGGCTGATGTAAAGTAATGGTTGGATCCTCCCTGGCCCTTGCTGACCTCCCTCCCTGACCCTGCCTCCCCCCCCCTACTGTGGTACCTACCTCAGTATCATTAAAGTCAAACTGGAACACACACGTGGCATCACTGATGGCTCTGTTACCCCCTCCTGCCCCTACTGTGCTACCTACCTCAGGGTCATTGAAATCAAACTGGAACACACAGGTAGCATAACTGATGGCTCTGTAACTCTCCCCCCCCCTGCCCCTACTGTGATACCTACCTGAGGATCATTGAAATCAAACTGGAACACACATGTGGTGTCACTGATGGCTCTGTAGCCTCCTCTCACATATTTCAGGTTCTCAGTGGTGTACGGCTCCTCCTCCTCCTCATCTTCCTCATCATCATCATCATCATCCTCCACTGCAGTGCCATCTCTCTGCTGTCTATGTGGAACAGAAGTCTTACACACCAGGGAGACCTGGGTCAGATCAAGCTGGCAGAGACCAGGATATAGCAACCTGAACATTGGGAACAATTCCATACATCACATGAGCTAGGCTACTTACACAAGTCACTCATGTTCAGAGAAAACCTAGAAATCACCTTGAACACTGCAGACAATTTCACATATACTGGTGACAGATGCAACCCACCATTATGGATTGTTTAACATTGTTTTATGTAAACAAATTTATCTTTTACCAAGCCAACTGATCATATATAAGGAACAAAGCTGTGAGACACTGATACAAATAAACCAAGCCATGATTACATCTAAACCTTCACCAAAATCACATGAACCATCTCACTTGAGTAAAATTGGGAATTTTTCAGAGAATAATAAATCAACATATTTCTGGATTTTCTCCTGAAATAAACAAATAAACACTTCAAATGCTGTCTTATACTTAACCTGTTCTGTTTTCTAATTGCTTCACATTCTACAAGACAAGCCACTACAGTGGCGCCACTTGGAATAACCCGAGCCTGAAATACCAAAATTAAGGAAGTAATGTACAGGTAATTTAAGAACGTAAACAACACCAGATGGTCCTGCCAAAGTATACATTATTATACAATGCAGCTGAATAAAATACTGACGCCATTTCATTCCATAAACAAAATGTTGAATTCAATTTCAAAATGGTATTCTTTTCTGCAAAAGGGTATATTTTTAGCCCCTTTTGATGTCCCTATATGAGAAATGGCATAAAATTTTGTTTCAGAGGGGACCTTTTCTGTCCAAAAGGGCTGTTCATAGACACCCCCCCCCCCTACCCTTTGCCTACAGGCTTGTATACCTGGGTTTTGTCAGACAGCAACAAATGTTACCAAATTTTATTTGATCTCTAAATAAACTCTTATCTTAAAAAAATATGATGTACCCCCTAACTCTCTCTCCAACTGGGCTGGAATACCTACATACCTGGGTTTTGTCAGACAGCAACAAATGTTCCCAAGCGTGATCTAATGTGGACAGCATCCCTTCTCCAAGAAGACCTGCATCCACAGTCTCTGTCACTATTAGGGGAACTCTGGAAAAATAATATCAGTGAGAAGGAAGGGGAACTTTCACTCTTCTTAAAACTCATTTAGTTAAACTATCTCAATCTAAATGAATATAGGGAATAGTGTACACTCACAGGGAATAGAGGATGCATGCACACGCACAGGCACACACACACACACACACACAGGATCAATGACAGATTTATTTTATGTTTACCTTTTTGGTATATCATCAGGCACTGTTATATCTGTGGACTTAGCATGAATCAGATGAACTTTATCTTTCATCTGATTGGCTACAAGAACATCTCCTGCCAACTCGTACATGGTCTTGGACATTTCACAAGAATATACCTCTTGTGCTCCGGCTTTGGCAGCAAACATGCTGGAAAGAGAAAACTTTTCTTCTCTGATTTTTAAAAGATTAGGCTGTTTTGCAATATATCAGTAACTTGATTAATGTTTATCCAAAATTAATGGAAGAAAATAACTAACAACTAAAAATACCATTCTAAGTTAAATTACTTAATTTAGTGACAAATGAAAAGTTCTAGATGGACAATCTTTATTCTAAAGTGAGTCACTTTCACCTCTGTGCCATTCTCTCCTCTAATGTTTTGTGAAAAATAGGAAGAAAAAAGCGAGTGTGTCTCCCCAATACTCTCATCAACTGAATTGGAAATAAGACAAGTGGCAGAAGTTGAGCAGAGAAAAAAGAAATTATGAAAGGCAAAAAAAAGGTCCTATCATTTTTGGTAAAAAATAAAATAAAATAAATAAAAATAGAATGAAAAAAAAAAGAAAAAAATTATTTTTTCTACAACTTATTTTTCATCATACCTGAGTAATCCAGTGCCTGTCCCTATATCCAGAACTGAGGTGTATCCCTGCTTAACAGCTGTCTCTATGGCACTCTTAAAACTCTGATTCCTCAGTGTATCATTCAGCATACGAAAGTGCCAGCGCTCCACCAAGTGACTGCAGACATTTTCAAGATTTTCTCTAGCACCTGTGATATTACACAAAATTTCAAATGTCAGTTCAATGGTGCATTTTCAAAATATATAATATTATTACAAAGACAAGAAAATTACAACCCCGATAATGAAAACTATTGGAGGTGGATGCTTCTTATAGGCCCACAAAGTTAAAACTTCCTACTCTAATGGTCTAGGATGGGAGATGCAAAATTACTAACACACAGATTGGCATTACCACATGATCTGATTCTCAGATTTCTGTCACAAAAGAGCAGCAATAAAATTCATTGGGATCTGCAGCCTCTTGCTAAATAAACAGATAGCATAACTAAGTATATATCAAGTAATAATACTATACCGCTTTCATAATCTTACCCAGGTAGCTTGGGTCTTGTCTCAAGGCCTTACGAAAACATGAAGCTGCCTCATCAACATAACCAAGCCTGAAAATGCCAGTGTGTGTTTTCAGTGAAATAAGTCACTTCTGATGCCTGGATAGTTGTAGCAAAGTATTAATAATACAAAAAAATTCAACATATACGAATACAAACATTTATCAAAAGTAAATGGCACTGCAGAACATCTATCATTTCAAGCAAGTTGCTGAAACAGCACATACCTAGGATAGTAACTTACGTTTCATGATCACAGATCAACACAGGAGGTAAGTTCAAATGTTGTCCAGGAAATGAAATAAAACTTATTAATCAAACAATTTTTAATCAACTACTTTTATACTTGCTTAAATCTTCAATTACATTTTCATATAAAGTTTCCCTTAAAAATAGTATTTACAAACTTCATGCAGCAGATAACAAAAATTAACCGACTTTATGTTGTGATCAAATGTTTTCTGTTCTATACATGTTGTTTATATCCACAGAGGGTGCTGGAGCCACATTGGAGAGCTATATTATAGAACCATATCATAGAGCTATGACGGAGCCAGTGCTGAAGTCATTTACCCAAGGTAAAAACTATGCAGGATTGAAGCCATGCTATCAATGGCAGTATATGATGGATGCCAAGATTAAGGAGAGCTGAAAAAGCTGGTTACCCTGGGGAGAGGCAGGGAGCTGATTAACATGGAGAGAGCTGAGGGAGCTGGTTACCATAGAGAGAGCTGAAGAAGCTGGTTACCATGGAGAGAGCTGAGGGAGGATGTTACCCTGGAGAGAGCTGAGGGAGCTGGTTATCCTGGAGAGAGCTGAGGGAGCTGGTTACCCTGGAGAGAGCTGAGGGAGCTGGTTACCCTGGGGAGAGCCGAGGGAGCTGATTAACATGGAGAGAGCTGAGGGGGCTGGTTACCATGGAGAGAAAGCTGAAGGGGCTGGTTACCATAGAGAGCTGAGGGAGCTGGTTACCCTGGAGAGAGCTGAGGGAGCTGGTTACCCTAGGGAGAGCTGAAAGAGCTGGTTACCCTGGGGAGAAATAAGGGAGCTGGTTACCCTGGGGACAGATGAGGGAGATGGTACGTTACCCTTGGATAATTGTTATGATGGATTTTAATGTTTCATTCAGTTCTTCAAACCATTTGTTTTTCAGTGATGTGTAACTTGTGACAGATAAGAAGCAGAAAAAAAAACTAGGGACTTTGGAATCGGTTTCCATCTTCACAATATGTTTCAGACTTGAGCATAACAGTGACTTTTTTATATTTGTGTGATCGCGGCTGAAGAATCTGAGAAGTGTTTTATCTTCGCACCTGAATAGTTGTGACCCCATATTGTTTAACATTTGTTCACATTCAGGGAAGAACTGACAAGCTTGGTCAAAACATTTGAACAAATCCTCCCAGCGGCATTTTCTTTCCAATTCATCACTCCATTCTCTAAACGCGGTGCTAAAAGTTTCTTTTATGTCGTGTTTTTTCGCCGGCTGCAGACGACAGACGAGCAGGTAATGCGCAAATGCACGGCCATAATTTTTCTGTTGCATACACCGTTCTGCTGCCTGGATGGATTTGCTCACGAGCCATACGTTCCTTTCTAAATCTGGAAACTGCATGTGGCTAGCTATGGACATCTCATTAATAAAATTCCCTTCACAGAAACACGACTACACGAGACTTGCTGTTCCAACCTCTTGTAAAAACTAAAACAAGGAATTATTTTAATACTATAATTAAAAAATATACCGGTTTAAATGTATATAATAGAAAATGACAAATAATAAGGCATTGATATTATTTTGTCCATCAAACAAATGCATACTCATAGAAATAGGAGTTTGATGTTCTCTTAAATATTTATTAAAACTATAATATGGCTTTCCAGAACTGTTTCAAATCTTTGAACTAGATCAACCCGAATCAGATATGCGCACGCAGCATCATCGGCTTCCTCCAAAATGTTGCCTGACGATGAACTGGCTAGATTACCCGTAAATTTTGGCTATGACGTTGAGGAAACTGAGCAGCCACGGTTTTTTTACCCAGTTCTGTATTGGTTGTCACCATTGGTGGGTGGAATACTTGGTTACAGGCAAAAGCCAGCCCTACCGTTTGTACAAAGTGAGTAAACCTTAAGGCTCTTATTAAAATTACTTACATTACCATGTTAATATGCTAGATAGTAGCACCTTGATTTGCTAAATCTGCTGAACCTAAGAACAATTTTATAACAGTGGATTTGCGGGGTTGTGAATTCTGGTTATGTACAGCGATCACCTGTCTATTTGCTTTGTCGAGACAGGAGCTGGAGCACTGAGCATTTACTACTACTTTACTTTTATAAATAATAATTTTAGGTTAATTGAAAACTTTCAGTTTTGCTTAGAACATTTGGTACTTTTGTAGTATACCCCCCCCCCCCCC